ATTTTGGGGCAAAGGTTTTTCCCCAAAAGTAAACCGGGCCCATACAGAAAATAAGCGATTTTTTGCAAAAGATAGAACTTCCTTTTAAAAACCCCTGGAATTTACAACAAAAAAATTCTTCTTTTAAGATTTCCACTAAAAAGGTTTAAAAATCCAACTCTCTTCCCCTAAAAAGGACCGAAAAAATTCGAAAGAATTTCAACATTCATGGAAAAATTAATAACACACCCCCTCTCCTTGAGTTAAACCAAATCACAAAAAGATTACAAAATAACCATCAAAGTAAAAACCCTTAAAAACCCAACCAAAAGAAAAAATATGCAATTTTTTAAAGAAATATAAATACTAAAAATTTTAAATCAAAATTAAATTAGAAATGGAAAATCTGGAAAAAGTTTGAAATAGACAAACGGGAAAGCCCAAAACCAACAGGAACCAAAAACCCGTCATATCATTTCTACCCCGAGAACCTTCCTCCTCAAGAAATTCAAAAGCAACTGTTTAAAAAAATTTCCCGTTATTTTTCATCAGTCAAATTTTTTTAGAGGGGCCCAAGATTCCCAGTAGAAAGGAAAGGATGACAATACACCCTTTGCGGTAAAGCAGTAACAGGATAAGAAAATTTCCGGGTTAAGAACGTCTCGAAAAGGACGGAAACTGTAACAAAACTCCAGACCCAAAGACCATTAGTGCGGGGAATCTCGAGTCGTAATCTTAACCCAAAAGAGGAATAGTCAAAGAATTAATTTCTCCCCCAAGTTAGACAAAAACCAAAACAATCCCTGGACAGTCACCCAAAACAGACAAATTTCAACAAAGACAGACCAAAAGGGAAAAACCAAAGGGCAATCACCTTTGACAAACACCCCGGCAAAACACCAAAAACCCGTCAAAAAAGACAGACCAAAAAAAACTTTCCCCCAGAGTACACTGCTCGACGAAGGGCCAGTTTAGACGGCGACCTTCTCCCCCGGGATCCATTCACAAAGGGGTTTTCAGCCTGGATTTCAAAGAGGCTTTCCCAAATTTTGCATCAACCGCCCTTTTTTTTAACCCAAATTTGGGTGGCAAAAAACCCCCTTTTCAATAATTATCACCCGCACAAAAAAAAATTAACCCCCCTTTTCAGGCCTCCCAAAAGGAAAGTTTTGGGGGGAATTTGGTATTTCCTGGAAATTTTCCCGGGGGGCCCGCAAAGTTCCAGGGATTTTTATGATTGGAAAAAAAAGCTTTAAAGAATCCTTTTCATGTATTTTATGAAAAAAGTGAACAAAAGCTGAATTGGGAAAATAAATTTTTAAAAAAAGCTCAAAATTGTTATAAAAGAAAATAGTGAACAAACCCTTTTAAAAAAGTAAATTTTTGGAAATTTTGAACAATTATCCAAAAAATTCATCATTTAATGTTTTTTAAAGCTGAAAACTGTTAAATGAAAGGGAAAATTTTCAAGGGAAATAAATAAAGTACAAAAAATTTTTTGATAATGAAAATTTTGAAAAAACTTTTTAAATAGGGTTAAACAAAAGAATTTTTTGAACAAAACTCAAAAAAATGTTAAATTTTGATATTTGTTAACAAAGCCCCAATATTGGGTTTATTTTACAATGGGAAAATGTGTTTTCATAAAACATTTTAAATTGTTTAACAAAGGGTTAGACTTGTAAAAATTCCATTTAAAATTGGGGGAAAAAAAAATTAAACAAAAATTTTGGGAAAAAAAAGAAAATTTTAAGTTTTTAATGCAAGAATTTTTTAATAGTTAAAAATTAAAATAGTTTAAAATAGATTTACTTAACTGGGAAACAAATGGCCCGATGATTTATTTGGGAAAAATTAAAAAAGTGTTAAAATATTGGGAATTAAGGTGAGGGAAAAAATTTTTACTTAAAAGAAATTAAAGGGAAAAAAATAGGGGTATTATAGGGGGGAGTTTCAGGTGATTTTTACCAAAGTTTTTTTAAAGAAATAATTTATTAAAATTTTTTAAACCTATTTGGTTTCATTTAAAGAAGTTATTTTACAACTTCTTAGTTTTTTGTTGCCCAAATCAGTTAACATTTTTACGCAAAAACAGTTGAAGTTAACTTACATTTCCCGTCCATGTTTTTATGGAAAAAAAACAGTATTTTTTATAATATTTTTTAATATAATAAATAAAATCATATAAAAAGCCCATAACAAACTTCTATAATGAGATCAAGTGTTTTCATCATCTAAAAAATAATTGGGCAGTTTTTAATGCCCCCATTAAAAAACCCTCCGAGGGGAATTTTAAAAAATTACCCTTTAATTAAATTAAAATCCCTCATGTAAAGTAAAGCATACACCTTAAATTAAAGGTTTGGGCATTCTCAAAAATTAACCCAACATTTTTGCACCTTATGGGTTTTTTTTTGGGGTTTCTTTTTTTTTTATTATTGGGTTTTTTATCAATTATTTTCCCCAAATTTTTAAAAAAAAAGTGGCCAGTTTCAAAGACCCTATATAGGTTTTAAAAAAAAAAATTTGGTTTTTTTTTTTTCTAGTTTTTTAGGTTTTTATTTAAATTTTGCTAAGAAAAAATTTATTAGGTTTGTAAATTCATTTTTTAATTTTTATATGAAGATTAATCCACCCCCCTTTTTTAATCTGACCCTTTTTTGGGAAACAAAATTTTGGGGAAAGATTTTTTCCCCCCTCAAAATATTCAGGGGCCTTTAAAAGCAAATTAAAACTTTTAATTTTTGATTTTAAAAATTAACCAGTTTTTTTACTTCTCCCCAAAAAGTGATTGTAGCACTAATTTTTTCCCAAAAAATTAATTTGGGTTTTGTCCTTTTTTAAAATTAAGTGAGGAAAAAACACTGATTTTTAAAATTTAAAAATTTTATTAAAATTTAGTACCAACCCGGGATAAAAATGCACGCTGGCTTGGCCCCCCCCCCCCCCCCAAAACCCCCTTTTTGGGAAGGGGGTATTTCCCTTTGCATTTTTTTTACATTTTTTTTTTTAAAAAAAAAATTGTGCAAAAAACCCCCTCCAAATAATAAACTAAAGGTTTGAAAGCAACTACCGAAATTTTTAGTTTTAAAAAAATAAATTGGCCATTTTTTTTAATATCACTTATTATAATCTAGTTACTAATTTCCCTTTATTATCATTTTAAAAAAGATATATGTTTTTTATTTTTTTTAGTATATTGTAAATATTTTTGTATGTATTTTTAAGTATATATCTAATATTTATTATTAAAATTATAGTAATTTTCACATTATGAGCCTGTTGCATGTATATTTAAACCAAATTCCCTTTGTTTTCATTTTTAAATTTCATTATTTTTTTACTTTTTCTTTTTTCTTTCTTAAAAATTTTTTTTGGGTTTTTTTTTTTTATTAAAAAATTTGATGATTTTAAAAACAAAAATTTCCCCCAAACTTTTTATTTCCTTTTTTTTTAGGAAAAATTGGCCAAAAGAATACATGTTTTAAATTTTTGGTCATGTATATAACATGTACATTGAAAGGTCCCCCCTTTTATGACATGACTTTAAAAAATTTAATAATAAAAATTTGTACTGTACAATCAATTTTTTAAAATATATTTTTGTTAAAGATGTTTTTAAAACTCATTATTTGTTTTTCCTCATGTTTGTTTCTTTTTACTCGTGAGTGTTTTTTCATTAATTTTGTTGAAATAAAAGAAAATAAAGCAAATGCTATATAAATCATTTTCCAAGAATTTGTTGTTGTTTTTTAGCATTTTTAAGGACTTTAAATTCTAATCATGATATCCCCAAAAAATGATAACCAGGCCAATTCTATAAAAGAAAGGAGGTCAAATCCATTTTAGATATCCAGAAGGTGAAAGGTCAAGTGCTAGAAGTGAAAAGAATTAAATAGACTAACTCCGGAATTAAGAATACTTGTTTTTTTTCCAGCTAACGCATAGGTACAAACACTTTCATAGTTACAGCTTCGAAAATATTGAATATTAAATGGGTTTTTTTTAATACAGAAAGCATAAAAATATAACTTCAGGAAAGGGATTACCATAATTTATTTTTGGAAAAACCCCATGTGACAAAGCAAAAGGGAGGTAATCCATTACATATTTTTTGACAAAAAAAGTTTGGGAGGGGTTATTTTTCCCTTTTTTGACCCAAATTAAAATTTTTGAATAATTATTTTTCTTCTCGAATAATTGCTTTGGTTTTTTTATTTTATTTTTCATACTTAAAAAATTTTTGAATTTTTTTAAAAATAATGTTTTGTAGAAAAAAATTTTAAATTAAAAATTTTGGGACGGCTATTTAAAAAAATAAGAATATCTTCAACAAGGTCTTAGAGTACTTCAATACAGCTTTAATGACCTTATGATGTAATATTCAACATCAACAACAACAAAAACCAAATAAATCTGAACAATTATTTTTGCAGACAAACTAAAAATGGCCACAAGGTATAAATGTATGCATTTGTACATTTATTTTGAAGTTATTTATTAAGTTGAAACCCATGACCCATAATATGCAACTCCTCTAAATGAGTGTCTTCTTTTTGATGTATTAGAAAGATAGTGATAGATATAAAGATTCTTATTTTATTTCTAGATTATCAAGCATTGACAAAGTACCTTTGTTGTTTTACAGTTTATGAATACAGATACTAGTACACAATCTAATGTGGCTGAGTTGTTAACACATTGGACTAGTAATCTAGGGATTGCTGCCCCCATGGGTTCAAACCCTATCATAGACAAGTCGTTGTTTCTGTGAGCAAGAAACTTTACACTCATTGCTAAGTACTGGTTGGTTCTAGGGACGGATTCAAGCGTGTTTCAATAAACTTATAGCTTCTAACACATTGAAAAATAACTTAAATTAGTATATACTAATTTAATAAATAAAACAATGATTTTAGTACCAGCTATTGTATTTAGTTCAGAAAAACTGAATTCATTCCTGTGATGAAGATAATCCATCTAGCTTACTAAAGGGCAGTCCTTCAACTCAGGTGCCCACTCATCCCTAAAATAATGCACAGAGGGAAATATGAGATTTGCCTATGCCAGTGTGATTAAAAATCTAAATAATTATGATCTTTACAGGGTCTGTATCGCATAAACTTCCACCTCACCCAAAAAGTTGATAAAGGAATGCAAAAGAAGCTAGACTAACCTAATATTAATAGTAAATACATATGAAGGTAATGAAAACAACTAGTTTAGTAACATTTTATGCTATATTAGAAAACACCCAATTATTTTTACAAGAAAAAATAAATAAAAATAACGCATAATTAAAAATCATTAAATAACATGTATACAAGACAATAATATGTAACAAAATTCACTTTTTTGACAAAGCTTTTGAACCCTTATATAATGGTACTCTAAAGTAACATAAAATAATCCATTTTTTAAACAAAAAAGTAACTTATAATAATCCTTTTTTACACAAAGCATTTATGTACCACTACCAGTATATATGTAGATGCATATAATTTTAAATATAACCTTTTTTCATAAAGCGTTTAATATGAACCCCTAAATGTGTATGTATCATAATGTTTCTATAACCTGAATTAAACACAGCGTTCATAAAACCCTAAGCATACATGTAGATAAAAAAATTCACTGTACTTTTTTTCAACAAAGATATTTATGAACCCCTTTATATACATAAATGTTTACTACAGCAAGAACAATATTTAAAAGAAATGGAATGAAATAAATACATAAATACCTAGACTGGTTATACAAATTTAACAATATTTTATTTTAGCATTTTCTCGAGACAGTCAAAGAATGAAAAAAAAGCACAATTAAACTTGTGCAACCATTAATTGAGCATGTCCTTTAAAAGTCTCTCCAAAGGATCTATATTTAATTAGTTTATTAAAGCTTTAGGAGGCAAAAAGGGCCAATAGATTCACAGGTCTATGTCACTTTTATATCAAAATTATGATGTGTCAGCATATTTGCCTATCTTAACAATACTTGTACTGTAATTTCTTCTATATTATCACTTTTTATTTTGACACTCATTTAATTGATAACATACACTTCCAAATCATGAAAAACTTCTCAGGTACTTAAATGAATTTTGAAAAAAGGTTGATCTTCTCTCCAATTTATCTAAAGACAACATTTTTTTTAAGAATTAACATCTTCCATATACCAAGATCCAGAAGTTTCTACTGAAGGCTCCACCACGATCAATAACTGAGTTTTCTCATCTTTCAATCGTTCATTTAAGAAGTCAACTGCTGCCTGTCTCTCACCAAGTTTTATAGGCTTATCTAGTTTAGAATCTAGATTGTAGAAGGCTCCTTGTACTTCCCGTATAACATACCAGTGTTTAAAGTCGAATGGAATCTTGACAAAGCCAAGTTTATAGTCTGATGGAACATTGAGAATAACACCTTTAACTTTGCTGAAATTTACCTTTTCTACTTTCCTGAAGAAGAAAAAAAAGGAAAATACTAGTATATTTTTAGAATTGAATTGAAAGCATAACACAAAAAAGTTGTAATACTTTAAACGTACATTATGCCTCAGATATGAATAAATTGCAAACATTAAATTTATAATGTTTAAATAATGGTTTTTAGAGAATTTATGTGCTTTTACCTGAAGTAGTGCTAAATGTGAAATAATTTGTCATAAAAGTAGCAAAATGTAAACAAAGTAGTATTTTAACTTCCATACAAATACTAAATCACTATAACTGTACTAATTGCAAGAAAAAAGCGACAGAAAGATAATTGGCCAATGAGTAACTTTTTGGAAACTATAAAAAGTACACCAAAAATAAAATGCTTTTGAGAAAGAAAAACAAAAGCATTTCTGGAGAATAATGGGCTTTTAAACATATTTATTTTAGTTTGAAACTGATGAGACCTGAATTCTTATTCGAACCACTCTCAAGTCCACTTAGTCCTGGTGTCATCTGAGATAACATGGCAGTGTCTGTAGTAGGGCTTGAACCAACGGCCATTTGGTTATAATTTATAAACATTATGTTCAAGTAACTTTCAAAAGATGGAAATGTCAGATGTTTAAAATTCATTTACAACTGCCGACATATTTTTACACTGTGTTTTGATACAGCACTGCAGTGTCACAGCATTTCAATATTATGCTGGTACAATATGATTAAAATCAATCAGGTCATAAATAACGTTACACTTTTTTAAAAAAAAACATATTAACGTTTAGCCTACTGGTGGCAACTTTTTCTATTCATGCAACAAGTGCAGACCACGATCAGCCAAGCACATTCATGCTGCCTAATAATAATGGTCTGCACTGTTTAGTTTTAAGTCACTACTTATATTGGAAATTTCTCAAGAAATGACGATTGGTTTTGTCTAAATTGAAAGATTGACAAGTCCATTTAAGATATTTAGTGGGGTAAGGGTTCAGACTGAACATCATGAATGATGATGCAGTCAGACTTGTACTTAGCACTTGCAGTTCAACAAATATTCCTCATATCAGTATAAGTAATACCACTGTACTCCACTTGAAACTGACAACTTCTCCAATTTCCAAATACATTATTCAAAACAGCTTGAGAAGACTGTAAAACATAAGATTCTTTTGTTTTGAAACATTGCCTTAAACTTGACTCATGCTCAAATGATCAAATCAAACATCTGAAGACCTGCGCTTTCCAGAAAAATTTTGTTTTAAAAAAGATAATTTAAAAGAAGCTTACTTTCTTCTATCAAACCATATCAAACACAGATCCTTGGTTTGTAAAGCAGCTGTCAATACATTAACATCATAGTTACCAAGGCCAAGCATATTACGGTGAGGGTTCATAAACCTTGAAGGCGTCAAACTGTAAATACAAAATTGACAAGTGAAAGAAATACGATGCTTATTTAAAATTGTAACAAATGTGTGTTATTATCTGTCAGTTAAAAATCATATATAATACCTAAAAGATTTAACCTTAAGCAGTAAATTTCTACCTATATGATCACTGCAGACCAATTTCAGACAGCATATCTGTACCATATCTTACTCTGCCATGTTCATTATTCAGTCAGTCAGTATATACAATTCCTCATGTACTTTGTTATTTATTCAAGAATTTGAATAAATTTTGGTCAAAATTTATAAACACTTGTGATAAAATTGACTTGATGACTTATTCAAATTTGACATTGACCTTTGAATGACCTTGACCGTCAATGTTAAATATCAAATTTGAATTATATTTTGTACAAAAAAATGTTTTGTAGGAGTATTCTTTTCTACAATTTTATACCTCTGCTGATGTGTTTGACTTTAGAAATAAGACTAGAACTGTGTCCAAAGGACACAGATGCCCCCACTGACAACATATATATGGTATATAGTGAAAAAATCAACAAAGGGCCATAATTCTGTTAAATTTGGTTGCAGCAAAAATTCCTTCCTTTACTTCCATCTACACATAAAGGTTGTTCTTCTCTGGAAATTTAAGCAAAATCTGCCATCCGGTTTAAGAGGAGTTGCGTTCACAAAATTTCTATATGGTATATAGTGAAAAAATCAACAAAGGGCCATAATTCTCTTTAAATTTGGTTGCAGCAAAAATTCCTTCCTTTACTAATATTTACACATAAAGGTTGTTCATCCCTGGAAGTTTAAGCAAAATCTGCCATCCGGTTTAAGAGGAGTTGCTTTCACAAGATTTCGAGACGTACGGACATACCAACTTTTGATATTTAAGAGGCAAATCAGCTCATAAACTACAACTGGACGTAAGTCCATAAAGTGAATTTAGCTCATAAAAACAAAAAATAGCTCACAATATGAATTTTATGAGTTTTTGTTCTTTATTTAACTATGGAATGAAGCTCATAAATATCAAATGTTTGCTCGGCGGACGTACGTGTGGACGGACAAGTGCAACGCTATATGCTCCCCAAGCATAATAAAGTTGAACCTGGCACCCATTAGGTGGTGGCTCATGCTTAAACATAACCTTATAATATTTTACAATATTATTGATATAACACTTGATAATTATGAAATAATGTGCAAGGTATGTGTCTCTATGACAGGCAAATGATATAGGGGGGGGGGGGGGGGGGTTCAGAATTTAGTGCCCTATGGACAACTTCTTTATGGGTAAACTTGAACATTAACTGTTTGACTAAAATGGTAGATCAATGTCACTAATCAGAACTGTTCACATTTTAGGGGAGAAGATGTGTAAGCGGCCAGAAAGCTCACTCTGGGGGACTGTAAGTTCAGAGTTTAATTATCATTTCTCTGTAACTCTTGAGAAATTACGAATGATTTTCAATATTGCGGGGGAGTATGTCATGTTTTAGAACTCTTCATTATTTAAGGGAGAAGATGTGTAAGGGCCAGATAGCTCAGTCGGTAGAGCCGCAGAAAGGTATTCCATGGGTTCCGGGTTTGAGTCCCAGTAAGGCTGCACATTTTTCTCACCCTGTGACAATAATACTCGCAGATTACTTGAAACAGGAAGTTGAAATAAATTGGCTTAAAATTACCAGAAGAAAATGTGAGGACTCCTCTAGTTTTGTAGCTTAATTTAAAGAAGTACATCTTACAAATAACATAGGTCTGACTTTGTTTGCCCCTTTGAATGGTCCAAAATAGCCCTGCTCAGGGTTCGGCTTAGTTACATTGACATATTTAGAAAATCTGAGCTTTAAATTTTGTACTAAATATAAAAAAATAGAATCTCAATTGCTGAGAGCTTGGATAATTTGCTAACATAGACTTGTATAGCATTGGTTGTCTGAAACCATATGCTTTAGAGATTTAATATTTAACATGAATC